GTCTGGGGTGGAAGCGACAGCATTGTGCTGGGGTTCGGGAAGGATGAGTATCATTGGTCAGAATATGGTACAAATTGTGACTTGTTCGCCGAAGGAGAGAAGGCCGGCTGCCCAAGGGCAGCGTATTTTCCCTCTCCGCCGTACAGTCTCTAATGCAGTTCCCTGCAACAAGGCAGGATTGAATTGTGTGTCTCCCCCACCCCTCCGACTCCGACCCCTTCGCCGGCCGAAACGTAACGGAGCACAACGGCCCCTGAACTCGGAGGTCCTTTTCCGAGCACGTCTGGACTGCGTGTGGGTCGCGCCTTCCTTTCTCTGGTTCTTGCAAACGATGCAATTTCTTCATCCAGGCGGTTTACGTCATCACTTCCTCTGTTTTCTGTCACAATGTTCTCCAAAGCCCAGGTGGGAAATCTCCCATTCTCCACATGTTGGTGAACTACTCCTCTCATCATACTTCATTATTGGCAAGATGGGCTAGAGCCAATGGGGCCACATCTGGAAGGCTGCAGATTAACCTACTCTGTTCCAAATGCATGTTAGATTACGCATTGCTCTACGTATTGATAGCGTTTAGCATTCAAACAAAGCCTTTATCCTTTCAATAATTTTATGGAGAAATGGTCTAATAAAATCCCTTTTCTGTCAGCATCATTTCCAAGGTTCACTTATCCTGTTCCCAAGGTTCTGTGAAGCCCACATAATGTGCTCACCCCTGCCGTATATTAACAGAAGATTAATACCGTATCTTCTTTAGTACCCATAAAGCGCATCACCTTAGGCTCATTTACTGGGTCAGATCTCATATTTCATCAACACTAATTAAGGCTGAAGTCACACCTTCCATGTGAGTGAAACTGTTTACCAGAGGTGTACAGGCCTCACAGGAGCTTCACAGAAAGTTGGCACAGTGTTAAGGAGGAAAAGGTATTTATCAGTTGCTTACTTGTGCTGCCAATCAATTGGAAGAGACAGTGGAAGGAATTGCTCAGGCTTGTCTTGCAAGCTAATTCCTGCACATTTCACAAGACTTGTGCAGTAATTACACTGAAGCCAAGTTTGTTTAATTAAGTGCGGATAAATCAGTTATACTACCAGTATGTTGGCTTGACTGGACTAGAGATTAATTTATACATGTCTGCTGTATCTTGAATTACACAGAACATAGCTTGTAGAATGAAGAAAGGAAGAGATACGAATAGCAGTGTTTATCAACATGGTTTTCTATATAAGACCAAGAATAGGTCAGACCATACGTTTACAGAACTGTCAGACGTGGATGCAGGGAAAGAAACCTAGAAAGACACATAGGCAATTTTAAAAATGTGATACAGAATGTGAGGTCACCGACACATAGAGTTTTCTTAAGAAACAGAATTCAGCAAACACTGTTGCTGCCAGAAGTACTGTAGATAATAGAATTTTGTGAGTACTGCAGGAGAGCCAGTGTAGTATAGTACATAAAATGATAAACTGGGATTATGAGACCTACTGTCATGGCCAAAAATATTGGCACCCTTGCAATTCTGTCAGAAAATGCAACCCTTCTCTCAGAAAATTGTTGCAGTTGCAAATGTTTGGTACTCACATATTCATTTCTGTGGTTTGCGTTGGAACAACACACACACACACACACACACACACACAGAGAGAGAGAGAGAGACAGAGAGAGAGACAAGAAAAGTCAAATCTGATACAATCCCACACAGAAATCCAAAAAGGCACTGGCCAAAATTATTGGCACCCCTAACTTATTATTTGGCAGCACCCCCTTTGGAAGAAATACTGTAACTGAAATCCATCACTTCCTGTAACCATGAATGAGTTTCTTACACCTCTCTACTGGAATTTTGGACCACTCTTCTTTTGCAAACTGCTCCAGGGCCTTCAGATTTGAAGGATGCCTTCTCCCAACTGCTGTTTTGATATCTCTCCCACAGGTGTTCTATGAGATCTGGACTCATTGCTGGCCATTTCACAACTCTCCTGCACTTTGTAACAATTTCTGAGTGCTTTTTGAAGTTTTTTCAGGTCATTGTCCTGCTGGAAGACCCATGACCTCTGGTGGAGATGCAGCTTTCTGACACTGGCCACTACGCTGTGCCCCAAAATTCTTTGGTAATCATCAGATTTCATGATACCATTCACACAGTCAAGGCATCCAGTGCCAGAAGCAGCAAAGCAACCCCAAAACATCTTTGAACCTTCACCATGTTTGACTGTAAGGACTGTGTTCTTTTCTTTGAATGCCTCATTTCATTTTCTGTAAACAGTGGCACGATGTCCATGACCAAAAAGCTCTACTTTTGTCTCATCTGTTCATAGTACATTCTCCCAGAAGGATTGTGGTTTTTGTCACATACGTTTTGGCATACTCCAGTCTTGCTTTTTTTATGTCTTTGTTTCAGCAGTGGTATCCTCTTAGATCTCCTGCCATAGCATCCCTTTTCATTCAGATGGCAATGGATAGTGCAAGCTGACACTGTTGTACCCTGTGTGCAGAGCAGCTTGAATGTGTTGGGAAGTTAATCTGGGTTCTGTATCCACCATTTGAACAATCCTTCATTCAAATTACTGAAAAATTACAATGAAGGATTGTTCAAATGGTGGATACAGAACCCAGATTAACTTCCCAACACATTCAAGCTGCTCTGCACACAGGGTACAACAGTGTCAGCTTGCACTATCCATTGCCATCTGAATGAAAAGGGATGCTATGGCAGGAGATCTAAGAGGATACCACTGCTGAAACAAAGACATAAAAAAAGCAAGACTGGAGTATGCCAAAACGTATGTGACAAAAACCACAATCCTTCTGGGAGAATGTACTATGAACAGATGAGACAAAAGTAGAGCTTTTTGGTCATGGACATCGTGCCACTGTTTACAGAAAATGAAATGAGGCATTCAAAGAAAAGAACACAGTCAAAGCAGTTATTTCTTACAATTTAGACAGGGTGCCAATAATTTTGGCCAGTGCATTTTTGGGTTTCTGTGTGGGATTGTATTAGATATGACTTTTCTTGTCTGTTTTGTGTGTGTGTGTGTTGTTCCAATGCAAACCAAAGAAATGAACATGTGAGTACCAAAACATTTGCAACTGCAACAATTTTCTGACAGAAGGGTTGCATTTTCTGACAGAATTGCAAGGGTGGCCATGACTATAGGTTCAAATCCCCACTCAACCATGGAGACTCCCGGAGGGTGGCAATAGTAAAACTGCTCCATAAACATCTCATATACAGTACTTTGAAAACCCATGTAGAGTTTATTTATTTATTCATTCATTCATTCAATTTATACCCCGCCCCCCTAGACTGTGATGTGACTGAACAGCCCAAAACAATAACAATGTAACTGTGCTAAATTAAGTTTCAGGTCTAATAACGGAATATTTTGTAAGCATCAGAGATACTATATAGGCATCAGGACCAAAGCACAGGCTGCTACCAGGAAATAAGAAAAGCCCTGTTGGATCAAACTAAAGGTTTATGTTAGGTATACTGAAGTCCCCTTAATTGTTTTGTTTTATTGCAGTCTTGTTCTCAGCAGCTCTTTTTGTGGTACTGTTTGCTGTATTTAGTTTTTAGTGTTTTAACTATGTTTATACCAATTTAGTATCATACACCTCTGTGTGAAGGCTGTTCTTGCTTTGAAAAGTGGATAATAAGTAACCAAATAATTAAAGTAATTATTCATGAAATCATTCAAAATTATCATTTAAAAATAAATCAATTACAACCATCCAACACTTGTCCTGACAAAAGATACATGTGTTTGGGGGCAAACTGTTGTCTCTCATTCTGCAGAGCTACACCTGAGAGATAGTTGAAAGCAGTTACAGCACCAATGGAACAACTTCCATTGAGAGCAATAAGTAACATTAAGCAGCCTGGTAAAAATGTTTTTTTTTAAAGATAATTTTGTTTGTTTGTTTGTATTTCACCAGTGAGAAGAAGATCATTTTGTGCTGGCTTCATTTTCTTCCAATGAAGGCCCAGTCTCTCCTCGTTTCTGTGGTTTTCAGCAAACGTATCATATTGTGTGTGTGTGCTTGTGAGAGCAGACATTGACCTGCAGAGGCCAGTGAAGGCAGGTAACTTGTGGATCCATAAAATCCTCAGAGATGTCATTTATGAAAAGCTCTATAGAAATGTCAATACAATACAGGAAATGTTTTTGAAGCAGTAGCTGAATGTTCTGCTTTCGCATCACTTTTTCCCCCCTCTCCTGCATGGGAAACGCTGGGTGATGAACCACAATGATTCCACTAATGGCTTCTAAGCATTTTGCAAAACTCTTCATCTTTTACTCAAGGGACAATGCAGCAGCAAAAACGACAAATGTTCACGTTTCGCTCGTGTCCTTCACAGGAAACATTGGCTGCTGTGTCTTGCCACGTCTAAAAGAGAGACTGGGGCTTACTTTTATGGGGAGATGCTTGATACTGTTCAAGAAATGTCTTACAATATATCTTTGAATGTCTCCTCTAGGCACTATTTGAATTTATATCTGAGTTTTGTCACAGAAAACCAGACAGGGTTGTAGTCTGTATTTTCACAGGATAATCGGAACATTCTGAATTATTTGCTGGGAAACCCACTCCCCACCCAACTTCTTTTAACCTTTATGTAAAGCTACAGGAGAAGACAACATAGCAATAAAACAGCTTCCTCCTTGTTCTGCCATCAAACAAGGTCAGTGTGTATGTTATCATATCCATTAGCTTCACAGGCACTTGTTATTACAACCAGCAGAGCTTGACATTAAAATCCTTCTGATTGCATGGGTGGCATCTATTCTAGTTCCTCTTGTGTCAGATAGAACTATTTGTCCTTGTAGTCTATTGGTGAGCAACCTGTGGGTCTCCAGATGTTGCTCACCTGCAGCTCACATAATTCCTAAATATTGGGGTGAGGGGTCACTGCTGGCACCTTGGGCAGGCTGTCAGCTCTCAACCCCAGGCACCTGAGCAGAGTCCTTGGACCAAGCCGCTACTGAGTCTGAGGTAGGTCTGGGGCAGGGAGAGGGAAGAGGCTGTGACAGACCTGGGGAAGGACAAGGAGGGCTGAGATGTCTTCCAGTTGGGGACCCTAACAGAGGCTTCAGTGGAGACCAAGGGAGGTTCCAAGGAGGATGAGGAACTCTTGCATGAGGCAAGGGAGGCCTTGTAGAGAGAGGAGGAAGGTGCCTAGGCAGATGCTAAGGAGGAACTAAAAGAGGTGCTGAGTGCTGAGAAGGTTCAAGGTGCTGAGGAAGTGTGGGACTTCACCTGTGGAGAGGATCCCTAGATAATTTTAGGTTGAGGGCAAGGTAGCCTGCAAGGAGCGGCTGACTCATCCCCTTGTTCCACACCCTGACATTGTGACCACCAGCAACTTGTTTAGGGCCAGCCCAGCTGCACACTCACCGTAAGGCAACACTGGAGATGGAAACGAGAGTGGGAAGCACAACTGGCCAGACTGGGTGGAGTTTGTTACCGCGAACCGGCAGAGTTAGTATTTTCAGGTCCAGAAGGTGAAATAAATCACTCAAGACTCATCCAGCTTTATCCAGCATGTGTATTTACAGTATATGTACAAGTGTAGAAAGCAGGGGCTGGACTTGATGATCCATAGGATCTCTTCCAGCTCTGCAATTCTACGATTCTAATTCAGTCAGAAATAATTCTGATGACACTGGCTAAAAAGTTCTATTTACCATTACTTTTGGTGCATTTAAAAGTTTTTTTTTGGGGGGGGGAGTGGGATGGGGAGATGTTTTCAAATATTTTTGCCAATAATTAAATAGCAAAAAGTAATGCTTCAGATAACATTTTGCACCAATGACAAAAGTTTTGCAATGGTAACAATAAGTTACTTTGGGAGGGTTTGCAATAATTTACATAAAATTAATTCTGAAGATCTGATAACCAGAAAAGAGACATCCATAGTCAGGTGGCTAAAGTTGTTTTCACAGAACAACCTCTGTTCCTAAAGTTTTTGTTGCTCCACAGATAGCAAAAAGGTATGAGCTAATCTGAATTAACAATAATGAAAGCAAAATCAGATTGAAATGAGAAAATGGTTTGAATAATAATAAAAAATTATACCCTGTTGCAAATCAGACACTGTTTCAGCAGACTTGTTGAACTTCAGCAAAAGCTGCATTTCAAAATTGTACATGTGATTATCTTCCACTTCAGCAAATCTGAGCTCTCCGCTCTTGAACAATTACTCTACAACATGGTTGTGCTGCAATGGATGAATAACCCTTTTCATTTGTGTAGCAAGGGGACATCTCATGCAGCTTTCTTGCCAATGAAAACTCATGCTCAGCTTCTTCGGTCCTAGGATTTTGGTTCTGATTTTCTCCTAACCTATGTCGCCCTAAATGGCTTGGGTCCAAGCTATCTCAAAGACTGCACCTCTGTTTATGAGTTGGCCCAGGTTTTACTATCACCAGGGGAGGCTCTTCTCTCAGTCCTGCCACCCTCACAGGTGCAGATTGGTGGAGGCACGGGAAAGGACATTCTCTGTCACTGGTCCCAGACTCTGGAATTCTCTCTAGCATGAGGCCAGCCTGGCCCCTTCTTTGCTGTTCTTCCACAAGCAGGTCCAGATCTTTCTCTCCAGCAGGCTTTCTTTTAGTGTCTGAGTGTCTAAGGGGGTTCTTAAAATGGGACTGTTTTATTTTTGTTGATCTTAACATGTTTGAGTAGTGCTTTTATCTATGCATTTTTAATATATTTAATATTTTTAAAAACTGTAACAATGTATTGTTGTTAGCTTTTATACTATTCCGTTTTAATACTGTAAGCCTCTGTGGATCTTTTTTTATGAGAAAAGAGGGGTAAAAATATCTTAAATAAATAATAAACAGAGGTTTTGAGAATATAGCTATCTGAGCCAGGAGGAGCCATGGAATGCAGTTAAAGAATAGCTTTTCACTGGAAGGCTGATTTGAATTAACACTGTTATAATATGTTTCTAATCATCATAAAACCACACACTTATTCCAATAAAGAAATGTTATGATTAATATATTTTCATACAATAAGATACCAGGAACGCCTAGCACTGCCCTTCAAATGTCTATACTTCTAGAGAAAGTTTTATTACAAAACCCCACTGGCATATCACTGATAGGCTTTATCAACGTGTAAATCACAGATTGCTTTCTTACATACTCATCTTATGTGGTATATAGTCCTCCTTTCCCTTGGATCAGTCTCTTTTCTTGCTTATGCCTGTTCCTTTTATTTAGGCAGTTGGCTGCCTAGTAATGCAATGTAAACAAAATGTCAGGCTGAGCCATAGGACTTCCATTTCTTAAGAGATTGTATCTCATAGGAATACACATTATTCTCTGTGTCCTGAACAAATAGAGCTGGATTTTCAATGAGACACTGTTCCATATAAAATCCTGCAGAGCTGGTGTATCAAGAAAGCTCTAGCAAAGTGATATTTTAGATATTTCACACTTTTGGCATACTCTTTATAACTGCAGAAGATTATCTTTGGCTAAAAAGCTGATATAGTATGATAGCAATTCGAAAATCTAACCAGTTAGAATTACAGATTAATCTTTCTAAAATATTTTGTTGTTTTAACTGGTTAATAAACAACTTTATAGGTAAAAACGAAATAAAAAATAACAAATAAAAACAGACAAAAAACGTGGTGGCACCTTAAAGACTAACTGTTATATTTTAATGTGAGCTTTCGTGGACAAGTCTACTATCTACCTCATTTGGCAGAGAGCTGTGCTACAGACATTAATTTTGCATCCTTGAGCACAAGATCAACTCAGCTTAAAACCTTTCCAGAGAGACAAGAGGAAAGCTTTTGCTTAGAAAACTCTCATAACTCAGGCATGGAAAGTCAGTGGAAAGTCCTCTGAGTCCAGTGAGACTTCACTTCCTTCCAGGTAAATGGGTCAAGGATTGCGGCCTGGATTATGTTGGCATTCCTATATTTCCTTTTACAGGACTGGTGATGACTGGTGCCCTGTGCATGTTTACAGAACCTAGAAAAGTGGCTTTTGAAAGATTCCATCTTGCAAACTTTTCCTCATTCCTGTCACTGGCCATGTTTGTGGCGAGCACAGATTCAAGGTGTTTCAGTCCAAAGAAAGTTTCCCAGGCTCTCAGTTTTTGAATCTCCTAACGCAGAGTCATAGACAGTAAGAAAAGCAAGCACATTCATGATACAGCTGTTTAGGGCTCTTTTTTGGTGTTTTTTTGTTTTTTATAGAGGTCATCATGAAATGTAGGCCTCTTGCATTGGGAGTGGAGGAAATTAATTGTTACAGAAAATAGCAAGAATATATTCACCTGAGACCTCTAAGAAAGTCAAGGAAAGTTGTGATCATTTCTGACAAAGGAAGTAAAAAAGGAGAGACACCAAAAGAATCTTGTTAATTTCATGCACGGTCGAAGGTCTGAACAAATTCTGCTGAAAACTGAGGTATTTACTTAACAACATTTTCATTCATCATATTAAGCCATGATTCAAAGTTAGTTGCTTAAGATATTAATTGTCCAGCAGGTGATTCAACAAACGATGGTATACATCCCATACTCCTCTCCTGCCTCTTTTGTGTTGTCCACGTCTTTTGCTCTTGCTAATTCCTTCAGGTCCATCATTTCAACACTATTGTGGTACCCAAGTTGCACCACATTGCCAAGGTGCCTGTGACTGGGGCACTTTACAAACAAGACATGGAATATCCCTCTGGAAAAATCAGGTCCCTCTCCACCACTCCTTAGCTGCCACACAAAGGAAGGATTAATCCTTTCTCATCCATTCTATGGTGAGGAAACTTTTCTCTTCTAATCTTAAAAATCCTTTGTGCTAAGGACATTTCTGTTTTAGCAGCAGATATGTTTACAACCAGCAAGCAGTTTACACCCATGTTTGGAACGCACACATTAACTGTATTTTTGTCAGATCTTAATCCAAGAATGATCTATCTGATATGCTTAACACCATCAAATTCAAATAAATTCAGTTTTAAAGTACATAATCTTCCCTGGACATGGCTATTCTTGCTCAGAAAAATATAGACATGAAATAAACATTTTCCAGCAAGATTTGATAAAAATATAAACACATGCACATGCATAGCTTAAATGCTTTCATCTCAGTCCAATAAGGGTGGTGGGTGACTAGTCTAGTTTTGTATGTTTTGTGTCTTTAAATGAGATGTTGTGGGATTCCCAGATCTAACACTCAGACCTGCACTTCTGTTGCTGGACCCTTCACACTGGGAGTGTTCACTGCAACTGTCCCTAAATCTGGGGCAGGAGAACTCAATCTAACATAACCTAATTTCTCTTTCCAACAGACGGGCAGTGCTATCAAAGGGGGGGAGCAGTGCTGACCATTTGTTTAGCAGGTATACCTAGTTATACCCTCAGGTGCAGCACACTGTTGCTTATCGGCAGGTGTCAGCTGTATTATCTGTTACTGGGCAGTGAGCAATTAGAACACAACAGGATTTGAAAGAAGTAACACTCCTCCCACGAACATGGCATGGTCCCAATCTGGTTTAATGCCTCCCTCCCCACCCCATCTTGACTGCAGCATATTAAAGATTTGCTTGTGGTTATAAATATGTGGAACTGGTGAACTGAAATTATCCCAACAGCAAAGAAGAAAGCCACACATTTTACCTGAATGTAGTGTTCTGTGGAGTTCTACTGGAATACACTTAAAAGTACACTTTGAAACAATGTTACATATTAGAAATTAAAAGAGATAATGAC